TGCATCCCTTATGTCAACTCCAAGGAACAACTCGCTGATGTCCTCACAAAAGGGCTTCCATACTCGCGGCACAATGAGTTATGTGACAAGCTGGGCATGATAAACATATTCAGCCCAACTTGAGGGGGAGTGTTGTGAGGATTATTTAATTGTTATTTTATAGTTGCTGTTAGTGTTAAGATGCTATCAGTCAGTTAGTTTCTTTCTTTCTTATTAGTTTGTTTCTAGGGAGTGCCACCAGGGGCATACTTGTAATCTCCCATTCCTTTTATATTAAGTTAATATAAATAATTAAACTGGCGGCAGCCAGAAGGGGGTTGGTTTTTGTCTCTCAATCATATCTTCCTCTTCTTCTTCTTCTTCTTCTTCTTCTCTCTCTCTCTCTCTCTCTCTCTCTCTCTCTCTCTCTCGTCTCTCGTCTCTCTCTCTCCATGAATGATTACAAAACCCAAAGGTAAACTATGACTTAACACCATTATTATTAGTAACAGAAGTCCTTGAAGTATAATAGAAAAAGATACAGGTGGCAAAAGGATAGAAGATAAAAATAGGCTGTATGCAGTCTTCATTGAAAAGTCCCCCCCAAAAAACAAAAATAACCCCTTAACAGAACATCATAATCAGCCCGTAAGGAATGGGAACACCCAATATTAATATATGTCTGTCCTCCCAAACTATCTGCACCAGTTAACCAGTCAATCCTCTGGTCCAGGTGAATGAGGTATTCACCCCAGCTGCAAGTGCTTTAGATTCTCCTATAAAATGTCACATCAGCCATGGACCCTCACATTCTCCATTCATCTAGCTGATAGCAACCCGTGATTCTCCCTCCACCCATAACCTTTGGAATTATAATGAATACACATCTCAATCTCTGTAATGAAGCTAGAATTTCTGCTCTTATAGCAGTCTTGTTACCAGCCATGCATGAGTAAATTATGACCTACATTATAACCTTATGAAATAAGGGATACCCAGCAAGACATATTTTCAACCTATCACAGTTATTATATTATATGGCCAACACGACACCTTTACATCAGTGTACCATAAAAAGAATAGTTATCAATGAATATCCATTTAGTCCCAACCTTTTTTTCAATAACAAAATAGACAAAAAAGCATGAAAACAAAAGAAAAAAAAGTTTTTCTCAAATGTGTGTGTGTGTGTGAGAGAGAGAGAGAGAGAGACATACTGTGAACTTAGGAAGCCTGATTTTGTAAACATCTACAAGTTCCATCATCAGATCAAACAAGTTGGAGAAGGCACTGTCCAACACCATTCCAGCTATGGAGGGGTCTTCAGCACCATAAAGAAGGCTGCATTTCATTTGTAACAAGGAGTTAGTGGAAGTAAAATTTCTGCAGATAGAATATCAGGCAAGCCTTTCATTTGTATAAGAAGGGAAAGAAAATTATGTAATAGTAACCAGGTAAAAGATTAGATTTCTCCAGACTCAATATTTTACCAGACATGGCATTCAAGCATTATTCTAAAGAAAGTTTCAACATGGTATACAATTATAACAAAAACACAGATAATCTACCAAGATAGCAATAGAAACTAGGGCACAGACTGTTGAATGACAATGTTTTCTGATTATTGAATTTCTTAAGCAACAAGTAAATCTGCAAGAGATTTATGTTCCATAAAACATTGACTAGTTCCTCAAATTTTTGACAATAAAAACGAAAACTCATTAAGAGGAAAGAAGAAATACAACAGAGGTGGTAAGACATCACCCCAAAGAAAAGAAAAAACTACTGCTGATCAAAATAAAAAAATAAAAAACTACCCCCAATAACAACCTTCAAACAACAAAACCCACAAACTCCCCTATACTTTTGAACTTAAAACTTTTTTTTGAGAGAAAGGTAACCAGATTTCATTAAGGAAAGAACAAGTACATGAGAAGATGTACAAAAGAAAAGGGGAGGATCCCCAAGAGATTACAGAGGAGGAAGCTTGTCACTATACAAATGATCCAAAAACACCCCACACTTGGCTAAGCCATCTGCTATATGATTTTGTTCCCTTGGAATCCAAACTAAAGTAGCACTTAAGCAGTCCAAAGAGCCCCTAGCCTCTGCCAAATAGTGGCTCAGTCTCCAAGGTCCCCCCTCCTTGTTTCTTGGCCACTTTATGGTATTTGCTGAGTCACCAGCAATTGTTAGGTTCTGAATTCCCAGATTTTTTACTATTTTGATTCCAGTGAGAGCAGTCATCACCTCAGCCTTTGTGGAGCCAGCCAATCCAATTGGACCACTGAAAGTCCAGCATATGTTGCCCCTTTCATCCCTTACTGTGTCTCCAATGCCAGCTAAACCAGGACTACCTAGAGCACTCCCATCAAAGTTTAGAGTCTTCTTTCCATCACTGAGAACAACCAGTTGTCTCGGGATTGTTTGATGAGGGTGAGGAAGAAAGAGAAAGCAGTGAACCTCTCTGTTGAGATCAGTGATTGAGATTCCTTCAAACAAATCTGAATTGACTGTCCAGAGGTTACAAAGGTAAGTTATATCAGAAATTAATTCTCCAAGGGGCCTAAATTTATTTTCAAAGATGTGTTTATTTCTTTCATCCCAAACTCCCCACATCACTGCATCAAAAACTGATTGTTTTTAAGCAAGCCTGATCCCTGACTATTGAGAAACAGAATCCCAACGTTATTACGGGGTTCAGAATCTCTTGTAAACTCTTCTTATCCTTCCCCATTCCACCATTCAGCAACAGAATCCCAATGTTATCAAGGGGTTCAGAAAGAGGCCCATTTACTGACCCTGCACAAGCCTGATTCAGCCCAACAATGTTAGTTTCCCGATCCCCAACTCTTCATATACCCCCTATTAAAACAATTCCCAACATGTCTCTTAATAACATCATCCACCTCCAAACCCGATGAATTTAAAATTCCAAAAATACCCTCATCTTCCATCTCTCGACACTGACCTTTCATCTTCCGTTTCTCCAAATCCCACTCCATTTCTAGGCCTGGTGCAAAATCCAGAGAAGAACCAAAATAGAACCATCTGAAAGGAACACTTCCACCACTATCCTCAAACTGAACTGTTCTCCCGCAAATTTCAAAACCAGCACTGTTGGAATCAAATGAACTTCATCCACTTCAATTAGAATTCTTACTGCAACTAAATTTTTCTAGGTTTGATTTCTAAAATTGATATTCTTAAATCTTCCACATGCATCTTCTACTTCTCAAAATGTTTACAAACATTGGGCATGAAGAGGGATACCAAATTGGTGCTTTATGTGTAAAGTGAAGGGTGAGGACTGTAACCATTTGCTGATATCGTGCTCTTTTGCTGTCATTTTGGAACTGGGCTGTATCATTATTTGGGTGCAGGTATGATTTGAATTCCGGTAACTCCATAAAATTTTGGGAACAAACCTAGGTGGGGAGTGCCCCTCTAAAGGATCAGTTTCCTTCTTTGTATGCTCTATCTGATTTGAAAAATGAGCCAATCTCATCTTTCACCACCCCATCCTCTTCCACTTCTAGGATTGGGTGGAACTTGGGTCTAAGAAGGGATTTGAGGGACTCAAACTTCGACAGTATTTCAAGCCTTACTGCACTTCTTGAAAACATTGTCTTAGACCCCACTAGGGCGGATTCTAGAATTTGGATACCTACCCCTAATGGCATCTTTTCTTGTGTTTCCTTCTTCAAAGTCTTAAGTCAGTCCACCAGTCCTACTTTCCCCCCTTTCCTTGTTGATGAAGTTTGGTGCAGAGCAATACCTCATAGGGTTGGTAGTTTTTGTTGGGAAGCCTATCTAGAAAGAATCAACATTAGTGATCTACTCCAAAAGAAGAGACCCAATACTTGCTTGTCACCTCATTGGTGTATTCTTTGTAAAGCGGATGGGGAGACTGGTTTTCACCTACTGGTATCTTGCTATCTTGCGAGGTCAATTTGGGATTGGGCTTTCTCCCTATTTGGATGTAGCTGGAATCCTCCTTCAGACTTGCAGGGCCTTTTTTCCCCCTTCTTTTTTTCAAGTGACGGATAAAAAGAGGAAGGACTATGTGGAGAGGACTAAGGGCTGCAGTATGTTGGACACTTTGGGAAGAAAGAAATTCCAGGATATTCTCAGAAGTTGAGAGAGGAGCARCAGATCTGAGGGCTATCATACATATTAGGGYTGTACAGTGGCTGAAATCTTTGGAGCTATTCACAGATTACACTGTGGATGACATGTTGAGAAAGTGGGCTGAAATTGCAAATTGCACACAGACCAAGTCAGTAATGAATGTGTCTTAGACCCCTCCACCTGTTGGATTCTTGAAATTAAACTTTGATGGGTGTAGTAGGGGAAATCCAGAACAACCGGGGATTGGGGGTGTTTTTAGGGATGAGAATGGGGTCATTTCTACCATATTCTCAGGCCCAATTGGAGTGGGTGACTCCCTTAGAGCTGAGATCTTTGCAGTATTGAAAGGAGTCCAGAAAACTAAGGAGTTGAACATCAGGAAACTAATAATTGAAGGGGATTCAGAGGTGGTGATAGGGTGGCTGAATAAAGATAACAATGGCTTATGGAAGTACAGTAATGAGAAGAGGAAATTTAAGTGGCTGGTGCAGGAGATGGAAGTTAAGATATGTTGGGTTAAAAGATCGGCTAATTCCCTAGCTGATGGTTTAGCTAAACAAGGGGTAGAAAGGGATTCACCGTTTTGGGCTAAGCTGTAACTTTAGTGCTTTTTCCTTTTCTTGAGGTCCTTTGTTGCTCTTGGAAGATAAGTGTGTTTGTCTTCCTCTTGTAAATCTTCTATTGATGATTTAATGGAAGTGTTATTGATCAAAAAAAAATTATTTGGGTGCAGGTGGAACTTGCCTTCCGAAGTAAAGTTGTTGTTCACTCCAGCTACCTTTGGGAGATTGACAAAAAGAGGGAAGCTAATGTGGAAATGTCTCAGAGCCACTACCTTATGGACGTTATGGGAGGAGTGAAATGCTAGAATATTTCAAAAAAAGGAAAGTCTTGCTGAAATTAAGGAATGCGTATTGACAAGGACAGTCTCGTGGCTGAAATCTTCACACTTGTTGGCAGATTACTCCTTTGACGACTTCAGGAGAAATTGGGCAGCAGTGGCTTCTACAGTCTCCACAAACAACAAATCACAAGCTGAATGGAAATCCCCACCGGATGGAGGGGTAAAATTGAATTTTAATGGTAGTTGACAAGGTAACCCAGGGACATCCAGAATAGCAGGGATCCTGAGACAAAGACAATAACATGTTGTCTTTATTTTCAAGACCAGTGGGTGTTGGTGATTCTGTAAGGGCAGAGATACTAGCAGTGGTACAAGGTATACAGATGGCYARTCAWCTTGGAGTGAATAATTTGATAGTAGAAGGGGATTCCAAGGTAGTAGTGGGCTGGTTGACATGTCCAGAAACAGCTTGTTGGGGCTACAGGGATCTGTTAAAGAAAGTTAAATGGCTGACAATAAATATGTCAGTCAGGTTTCAGTGGGTCAGCAAATCAGCAAATGCAATGGCTGATTCTCTGTCCAAGCAAGGGGTGTCAAGGGGAGATCTGTTTTGGGCCAATTTATAATTGTGCTTCAGGCTGGTGTATGTTCAGTGGTTATGGTTCAGTCCTAGGGGGTGGTAACACCTCGTGCCTCCTCCTAGGCTGACTGTATTGTTGTTACTTGAGTTAATAAAACTATTCTCATTTATCAAAAAACAAAAAAAAAAAAAGTGATACCATAGACCACGATCCTCACCAGGCTTCTAGCACCCTCTCCAACATTTCTAATGGCACCCACGAGAGGATTCCATCTCCCCATTCCTCAACATAAGCTCATGCGAACAGACTATTTCATTCCTGCCAAAGTACCTCCTCTGCTTCCTCTTTGCAACTCAAAATGAAAAAAAAAAAAAAAAAATCTTGTGTTTAGTTTGCTAACCTGAAGCTTTCCTTTCAAACAAGTACATTTCGTAACCTCTTCCTCTACAGGGTCCACATTGACGAACCGTCCAACTAGACTTGATCCCAAAATTTTTATTCGACCTGAAAGTTTTCCCGCATCACTGACAATAGTCAATTACCTTCTTCATCAATTATAACCATGACATATGAGAAAAAGTTCCTCTTATACTTCAGTCATTGCACAAGTTGTTTGTGGTGTCCAAGCATATCCAAGTATCCATTAGATCCTAACTAATGTCAACTTAAGTTTCTTCAGAGTTGAGCTAGTAGTTGAGTTATTAGCATTTTTCTTCTTGTTTGGGCTGATAGTGTCATTTTTATCATTTCTGTGAGTAGTACTACGATTAGGTAAAGAGCGCATCAGTTCTTTATTCAAAGCAAATAACTGACACTTGTTATCCTACAATAAGCATCTCCGACACTTGGTGTAAAATACTCCCGAGAGTAACAGAGAAATCAAATCTGAGGAACATCAGGGCAAGAAATGAAACAAAAAATAGAATAGAAAAGAACACAGCAAAAATACATACTCAAAACAATATTAGAACAAATAATACCTTGTGACTGCACCCATTGATCGTCCCCAAAGACCTATACATGAAATCTGCTTGTTGCTTCTTAGGTAAGACACAACAACTTTAAGATCATCTTTCTGACAGGTAGATAGTTTGAAACACATTAAAATTCCAGAAGCTCTTGAAGTGAGAAATCCATAGTAGTGCTAGGCCAAGCCCTAGCATCTAAACTGCCCACAATATGCCTTCAGATTGGACTGTCATACACCAACCACAGAGATTGGTTGAATGCAGCTTAATCTTAGATGCTAGAGGCCAGCCTAGTATTTTCCAAGAAAGAAAAATCAACAAACCTCATGCCAACCAAGGCTGACATATTCACCACCAGACAAGCCTGAACCCGAAAAATCAAGAGTGAAGACAGTAATATTTGAAGGAAGAAGGATAACAGCAGCCTCATTTGCATCAGCTCGGCATCCACTGATTAATCAACAGGAATGAAATGAAGATAATATCAGCCCCTTCATATGTGATATGCTTTTATAAAGGGAAGAAAAACAGAAAAAAAAAAATAGAACAAGAGAAATTTTATATAAACAAGCAATGAACTTAAAATTACATCTCTCGTTTGAATGAAAATGAAATAGTTATCATTTCTCAAAAAAATTAACTTAAAATTTCAGGAAGAAAACAATCCAAGAGAGCCTGAAATGACCTATTTCCATGGCAGTATATAACACAAGGAAGAGGTGTATCTTCTGGGAAAGGTGATGGCACATAATGACTGCATTGCAATGTATGACCCCTTCCATTCACGAGCTGCTAAGGTTCAATAATAAATAGTACAGAAAAGTTAGCAACCATAAAAAATATATCAATGGCATAGAAACTCATTCACGAGTATAAAAGCCAGAACTGCCCAAGTAATTGAACTCCATACTTGCCTCCAAGTCTTGTCTCTTGTATTTTCTGCCTGCAAGAGTGAAATCTGCTTCCCATAAGTACTGATCTGGATTATACTCTGCCCTGTATATGCCAAGACAGGATATCATAAGAGAACAAATGAGACAAAGAAAGGTTTTGCCTAACAACTTTCACCTTAAAATTGCAAGAAGAGAGAGATGATATACTGCATAGTTGTAAATGTAGAATTATAGTAAAGCATATCAAGGTGCAGTTTTAGCCAATCCCATATAGTTGAGATACAGCATGGATGATGATGATGATGAGATCAAGGTGCAGTTTTGCATTTGTTTTCTATATAGATATACAAATGTTCAGTTATAAGGAGAGAAACCAATAAATTTGCAAAATATATACGCATGGAAAACCCCACTTGTCAAGGAATGTCTAGAGCTCCATCCAATTAGTAAAGAGCAGATTATCTCATGACTTCCCTTGGAAAGGATAAACCATATCTTTTAGCTTCTCAATGATTATGAATTTGAAGAAAACAAACACGGATGCACTGAGAAAGTCGTCTTCAACAGTTAGAGAACTTGTCACATTATAACAAAAGGTTTTTGGGTAGTAAAACAAAATTTATTAAAAGAAAAAGAGATTACAAAAAAGGTGACCAGAAGTAACCCAAGAAAGCACACCAAAGATCCAACTCCATCCCAGAACAGTGTTGTGTTTGATAAGAAATAAGGTTCAAACATGAAGTATTAGACCACTTAATAGATAATTTTGACAGATTAAAAACACAACACAGAAAAAACAAGTGACAACTAGTAAGTAAAGATTCCTGGCTTCATTTTGTTATCTCCATAGAAGAGGGACAGATAACTGGAAGTCAAATTCAGAATAGTTGATTTTAGACCTCTGGAAGTCATCTTGTTATCTCCTTGTTTAGCACTCAATTTAACGTTAGGATCCATAGGAATGTCAACAAGTCAAGCACCCAACAATCCAGTCTCCTCAAAAATGTCCAATACATACTTCCACTGACATAGGCTGATTCCATGGTGTGACCTTGCTACTTCAATGCCCAAAAAATAGAGTAAAGTTCCTAGGTCCTTTGTCTAGAAGTATTGCTAAAGAAATCTATTAAGTCTCACTCCCTGTAATCACAATATGTCATCAACATAAACTACCAATATGATCTTACCAAACTCTGTATCACAATTGAAAACAAAATGATCAACTCTGCACTGCTTCAGCCCAAACTACTTCACAAAATCACCAAACCAAGCCCTAAGAAACTGCTTCAAGCCATAAATTGTTTTCCTCAAATTTACACCCAAAAGAAGATAATCAAGTTGGTTGCTTCTAGGGTTAAAAAGAAAGAAACAGAGAAATTGAAAAGAAGAGAGAATAGAGTGGCAGAACAAGGAGAGGAATTGAATAGACTCTCTCCAAACAGCAGATCTGCTAATAGACACATTCCTCTTTAAGATTCAATAACAATACTGTCCCTACTTGGTGTGGGGACAGCAACTTAAACCTGGACATAATAGTAATATAATAATATCATAAATCATTATGAATTGAATATACTACCCTTGCCTGTCGTCTATACTTATCTTTTTGAAGAATAAAGAGAAATTTTCATTAAAATAAATATGTATAACATAGGGTGATAAGATATCACCACAAGTATGTTAGCAGCCCCAAATAAACCCCCAAAGGCCTAAGAGGAAGAACAGAACAAGCCCACTACAAGACCCAATAAAACTATGACCACCAGCCCACCACAGAACCAAAGCTGCAAGCCTTTCTGAAGCCCACATCAGTCTTCATCTGTAAGCTCATCCTCTTGAATTGAGTAATCCTCATCCCAATCCTTGCTCCCTTGATTAAAAGCTTTCTTTTTCTTTTTCTCTTCCTTTTTTGTTCTTTCAAATTTCTCAAAGGCCCTCCTGGCAAATTCCTCACCACCCCAGAAAAACAGACCCGAGCTTTTCCCAACCACCACCTCTCTATCAACTAATTTCCGGATAGCCACATCACTTGAGTCTTCTCCATCAACGGCAGTATCCTGTGGCAGCTTGATTCCACTAGATTCAGAATCAACACCACCCACCTTGTTTTCCTGTTGATTCTTCAAAGTAGGGGGAAGCTGTGACTGAACTTGCAATGTCACCCCCCTCTGACCAGTTTCAGGAGTCCCATTACCTTTCACTCCCTTCTATATACCCATTTGTATTTTTTTGTAGGTCCTGCCCCTACCAAGCCTAGTTTTAGTCTTGAAAATATCTTTGTCACATGAACTGTGTTGAGAGATCTCAGATTACACAGTTTCTTGCTTATTAACCCATTACTCTGATCCTCATTCTCTTCCAGATTACTCCTTCAGCCCAAATCAACACCCAGCCTTCCAATCTCGACCTCCTCAAAATACAGACTATCTTCTGCATTTTTTTCAGCCTGATCTACAGTAGACTCAACAACATGTCTCAATGATCAGCTTAATACAGCCCACATTATCCAAAACCATGTCTCTAATGATCAGCTTATCTCTAGTCAGGCACTTTTCAAGAGCTGCAGTCCACACCAAAAACTTAATCTTAGACAGAGTAGCAGACTGCCATATCCTGTTAGCAGGGAAATCACAACCCGCCAATGATTTAGCCTCTTATAAAAAGATTTGACTGGCAAACAGCCTTTGTTTTCCCACCTCCATAACTCCATTGCCTGCAATCGGATTGCCCCACCTGTGGGCAGATTTGCTGAAGAGATTGAAGCATCTCCACCACCTGATCTACCTCCCAATTATTTAGATTTCTCCTCAAAATTGGATTCCAAGTAACAACACCAAAGAATTTGGTAGTATTCCTCCACCATAGCCTTCCTGTTTTGAGCTGCTATAAACAAAGAGTGGTACACCTCCATCAACGGTTGCTCCCCACACCACCCATCCATCCAGAATTTAACCTTCTGGTCGTCCCCCATCTTATAGCTGATTCCTTGGGAAATTTGAGGTAGATTTTTTCAATGCCTTTTCATACTGATGTACCATAAGATTTCACATCGTTACCTGTTTCCCAACCCAGTTCCTTGGACTCAAACTTGGCTGTTATCACTCCCTCCAAAGAATGTCTGGCTCCTCACTTCCCTAATAGGGCTAGATTAAAAGCCGTGAGCTTTCTAATTCCCAACCTCCAAAGGTTTGCATACCCCATCCCAATCAACTAGGTAGAACTTGAATTCATCATTCCACCCCTTCCACAGAAACTCCCCCATCTTCCTTTCCAACTGACTAGCCGCCCCAAAAGGAATTGGAAATAGAGATAAATGGTAAGTGGTGAGTGCAATGAGAACATTCTTTAAAAAAACCACTTTTCCTCCTTTTGATAAGTGCCTTGCTTTCCACGAGGCCAGTTTCTTGTCAAATCTTTTTAGCATGGGATCCCAAACACTGAGTTGCATCTGGCACCTAGAGGTAAGGCCAACTATCTAGTAGGCAGTACCCCAATTGCCCCAAATTACAGCCCAAACATCTGCCACCTCTGAACTATCCAACAGCAAGCACTCTTCTGTAAACTTATCTTCAACCCTGATACAACTTCAAACCAAGTAAGGATGTATTTTAGAGATTTTATGTTCTCCCTATTAACCTACAAAAAAAGGCCTTCTCAACAAACTGTAGCAAAGCCACATCCTCAACACCATTATCCACATGGAAACATCTTAGAGCACCCCACCATAGCTCTCTGGACCAATCTGCTTAAAGCTTCAGCAACACAAATGAAGAGAAAAGGAAATAACGGGTCCCCCCTGCCAGAAACTATCTCCCATTTCCCCATTTTGGAGGAATCTCTTCTCTTAGAAAAACAGAGTATTTTTTTCATCCTTATCCATATCTTTGCAGTAACTTCCTTGATTCATTTAAATCTGTGTATGGAATTACATATGCTTTTTTGTTATGAGTAATAGTGCAATTTTATTAAAACAGAAACTGATTCAGGATTACAATCTCATGCAAGATCCCTTAGACATGCTTTTTTTTTATTTTTGAGAAAGAGTAATTTTCATTATAAACAACGGCCAATAGAAGGGTCATACATGAGAGGATGTACAAGACAGATAAAAAGATCAAAGAACACAATTCCCAACCAAAAAACCTAGACAAGCATAGTGTTGCCACCAGTGTTTTAAAAGCGCAAGGCGAGGCGCGCGCCTTTTTGAGGCAAGGTGCATAATTTAAAAAAATCAAAAAATTTATAAAACATAATATTAATAAAAATATTAACTTAAGTTTTAAAATAAATGTTTTAAAAAACCTATTATCTAAAATTAAAATACATAAATATAATATGTAAAGCATATTCAWATGAGAAYTTARAAATRRAATYAAACATATAAAACATTTTCAAGCATATAAAACCCACAATCTCTTTTTTTTCTCAATTGCATCAAGTAGCTAATGTGATTACATTCCTAATTCTACAAACCGTCTTTGTGCCACGCCCCTCGAGGCAAGCCCAAACAAGTCCCGGCCCAGCGGCCAGAATCAAAAAAGGGAAAAAGCAGCAAATTTTCAAAAGGTGCACGCCTGGGCTAAGGCGCAAGGCGCAAGGCGCACCAGGCGTGAGCCTTTTGAATGGGCTGCGCCTAGGACCTGGGCGAGGCGCCTACCCTAAAATGTGCCTCACCTGAGCGCCTAGGCGCGCCTTTTAAATCACTGGTTGCCACTATATAAAAATGGCCCCCCACACCTGATTTATCTAATCTGTCAGCCACTATATTTAATTCCCTTGGAATCCATCTAATCTGACCATTCAGCTGGGATAGGATTTTTCTAATTTCATTAAGAAAGTAATATAATCTTCAACAACCACTTTGGCACATTGAGACCATGAAAAAGAATTTCTCAAGCCTCCTTCAATATTTAAGGAAGTGACTTCTAGAGCCTTGGATGTTCCAAGACCAACCAACAGGGTTCTAACTTTTCTGTGAAATTAGTTTGTCCTATTGGTCAAATGAAAGCCCATGAAGTAGCATGGTCTGCCTTGAGGATAATTCCTGCTGCACTTGGACAGCCAGGGATCCCCATTCAGCTACCATCAAAAAGTTTGAAATCCATACAAGGACTGGGATTAAGCACTGATCTTGTAGGGGAAGGGGGGAATCATAATTTGAGGATTAGAGGATTTCTAGAAGGTTACTGTTAAGGTCTCCATAGGCAATGTCTTTAAACAATTCACAGGCAAGCATTTACAAATTCAGCATTGATAAAACCCACCCCTAAGGAATTCAAAGATAGTATAACTTGTTCTCAAATATTCTTCTGTTATTCTTCCTAAATGCACCATATAACTGTGTAAGTTATAGCTTTCAGTATAATCTACTCAGCAATCCCAAATTCCTACTTGTCCATTGACTAAAAAAAGTCCTCTAATGTTCCTCATAATTGTGCTTATCTTCATTCTGCTGGGAGTCAAAATCAGAACAAAATGTTAGAATTCCAAAAAAAAATGACAAAATTTAAAACCTTGTTACCTAATAACTGGAACGCGAAAGTAAACATGATTGTTTCTCTTTTTTTTATTTCTTTTCAAGTACACTAGGAATGTTTGATGAAGCCCAGAGTCACCAGACTCTGGAGTCTGGACCTTGGATCCAAGCAAGTGGTGCACCAATTTCTTTTTTTGGCATACATGTTATGTCAACACAAACATGCCTTACCATCATAGCATGTTTTCTCTTTTAAGTTAACTAACATATAAGACATGATTGTGGAACAACATCCTAGTAACTTCTGGATAAGATTTTTTTTTTTTTGGCAAGTCACTAAAAATTTGATCATTGTAAGTTTAAGACATACAAAAGATCAAGAGAAAAAAGAGCTTTACAGTATGACACTCTCTGCACCAAAATAGATCCCCAATTAAATACAAAACCTATCCTACCAAAAGAGTTAAATTCCTTGAGAACTAAATCCCAATCCACAATAAGGTATTTGACACCACCAGCACAAAATTGTCGGGTTTCATAATCACACATTGTAACTTCTAGATAAGATTTATGCAGCTTGAAGTATATATGATAAAGAAGAAAAAGAATATTCAGGTTTCATCACCTGTTCAGTATGCACATAATTGGATGATCCAATATTCATATGTTATATAAACTATGTTTCTTTTGGATGCCACATATTAAGCCTTATCCACAATTCATGAAAGTTCCAAATTCCAATATGAAGTTTTGTGGTTCAAATACAGTTGAAATAAAGTGACAGGACAATCACTTGGTACTGTTGTACTAGAAAGCAAAACAAAAGGTGATGAGTCAACAGGAGCATTCACACTTGAGAAAACACAATTAGTTCTAATATATTCATCACTCATTGGATTGAAAATTAAAAAGGGTTAATACATCTTTTAGCATCTAAGTTTCAAGCCATGAGTGATGAATACATCAGGTTTCATCATACAGTTTATCCAGTGTCAGTGCTTTCACTCAATCATCAATCAAATGAAACTCCTAAGTCCTAATTCAGAACCTGGTGCTATCTTTACAAGACTTCATTGGCAGAACCAAAGACTCCCTGAAGCAGGGGCTAAGCGATGTCAAAAGGGAGAGAGATAACACTATCTATTTCTTCTAGGTATCACTGCACACTGTCCAGAAACTTAGAGTCCCATCCGTCCCTTTCCATTCATACTCAGGCACTTCTTATGCTGAATTATTTTACACTACAATGCTTTTTAATTGGTTTAATATATTAAAATACTAGGTTAGAGGATGTTTGGTTCCATTTCCGTTTTTTGAATAAATGTTTTGTACAGCTCTAGTCTTGGAAAACAAGAAAAGTGGTTGAAAACATTTATTAGCGTTTTTTTTCAGCTAAGCACCATTAGGCGCCACACAAGCCAAGCAGTATAAAAACGCTAGGGGAATGTAGGAAACAGAATTTTTGACATTTTTCTGATAAACAGCTCTCACATAACCTGAGATACACATTTTTCTGATAATCGGCTCAAGAAAACAAAAATTTAGGCTCCATTTCAAGAAATGCCTAATTGGTGCTGACCTGACACCAATGTTTTGAGAAACGGCAATGGAACCAAACACTGACTTAGGTTAAATGTTCATATAATAATATAGCACGCCTCTATGGGAATTTGGAAAGAATGTTCATATATTAGTATAGTACAGCTCTATAACTCTATAGTAATTCGGAACCAATCAAAGAACCCTTCTGTGGACATACTTTTATGGTAAATTTATTGAAATAAATAGTGCACTCTAAATCAAGAAACTAAGTTAAACAAGAGATGAGAAGCATGTAGATAAAGCACCAGTCGGGTGGGTTTTAGACTTTTAACATAATGGGTTCTAATGAAAATGAATTACGGGGTCACTAAAGAAGCAGCCATGTTAAACAACACATAGACCTTACAATTTCCTTATGAAGCATGAAGATATTGCAGTATTGAAATGGATTTTAGTTTACACTAAATGAAAGAAAAAGGAAAGAAATATAAAAGAAAGGGTTCAAATGAGGAGTGGCCAAGATAAGTACCTTGGAGGTCGAATGACAAAATTGATGAATTGATCAATCATCTCCCTTTTAACATATATATCCCTCAGAGTAACTCCACCTCTTTAAAGTAGAACTATAACAAAGTCGCGGAGTCTCTGAGACACCCAGAAATTCAATCCTCCACCATTTTCAGATCTAAAGGCCCTTCCAAATACTAACAAAACCACCCTCCCTTGAGAAAAAGCAAATTTCAACCGGAAAACTTCTCAAAACCAATTCCATCTTAACTTTTCACCATTTACAGATCTGTAACCTGCGAAATTACACAAAATCCCTCTAAAAACCAGAGTAGAACTTGAATTCCCAGCTCAGCCACTTAACCTCCCAACATTTCGAGTTCTCACCATCTAAAACCCTCAGTCTGGGTCAGAGAATCAATATCAAACAAGGCATCACATTTCCACTTAATTTCAAGGCATTACCAGATCCAGACCTTTCAGCATCCGAATGGTCAGACTTTAAGATCTCAGAGCTGAATAGATGTCGTCAAAAAAAAACCACCAACTTGCCCTCCATCTTTTGGGTTATCGAGCTCGAAGAACTCCAACGAAGACCGCAGTAGCTAAAAGCCTCCGAAAAGTAGAAACCCTAGAAATTGAGTCGAGATCGTCTGTTGCTGGTCTTTAACGGTCCAGTGAAGGAAGGTCCATACGAGAATCAGACGAAATGAGAATAAGAACTTGGGAGAAACGACAAGTTCGTGTGACGAAAACGAAATGCGAAGAGAAAATTAAAATCCTCCGTGACTGCTTTAATGTAGTTTGTGGAAATGTCAGAGAGAGAGAGAGAGGAGAGAGGGAGACACGAACAGCTGAGCTTCGACACCACAAAATCCAAAAACCTCTTGAAAGAAAACCAGCGGATTATTTTAACTCAGCAACTTGTTTAGTTGTTTAGCATTTTTGTTTTTCTTTTTCTTTTTTCGCCGAAAACATATTTTTCCTAGGTGGGTCGAGTAGGATACTTCTCTCGACGGGGCATATATCCTATTTCTTGCAACGTAAGTGCCGTCGTGCCGGTTTGTGAATTGGAATCTGTTACTGACATAGCTCGCCTCACACCAACCTCACAGCTACATCTCACTCTGAGAACATCTCCCATGAATAATAAAATTTAAGGAGGGAGATGTTCATAATGTACGGGCAGGTCATGCTGTGAAGAGCAGATATGGATTCCCGGTTTGGTGAATCTGGATATCCATGGGACCATGGCATGTGCTTTTAACTTTTTTATCTTTCACTCAGGCATCTCTCTAGATTGCATCAGCATTCTCCTCCCAATAAAAACTATCCCAACACCCTTCTATGTCTGCACTTTACATATCTCGCCATGAGATCGATGCACGTATAGTCGTATGCATCTAGCTATGAGATCGATGTATTTCGGTTCGAGTGATAATTTGGTCTCCAGATTTTAAAATACATAATTCAGTATTCAAACTTTCAAAAATGTGACAATTAAGTACTCAAACTTTCAAAATGTGACAATCCAGTACCTGTCATTAACCAGTCTGTTAATCAGCTGTTAAGTGACATTTGAAAAGTCAAGAATGCCATCTAATTCTCTTTATCAACCATTCAAACATTGACAATAAAATGAACAGTCCCAAATTTTAGATTCTTCTAAACAGACACCAACTTTTTTCGAATAGAAGAGGCTCGGATTTGGGATTGTTCAGTTTTTTGTCAACTTTTTGGTGGCTGTTAAAGAGAATTAAATGGCATTCGAAGGACATTTTTTATTTTTCAAATGTCACTTAACGGCTGACTAATGGATTGGTTAACGACAGGTACTAGATTGTCACATTTTGAAAGTTTAAGTACTGGATTGACGCATTTTAAAGTTTGGGAACCAAATTCTCACTCGAGCCAAAATACAGGGTACTAATTGAGAATTTTCCCTTTTAACTTTTTTATCTTTCACTCGGGGCATCTCTCTAGATTGCATCAGCATTCTCCTCCCAACACCCTTATGAGTCTGCACTTTACATATCTCGCCATGAGACCGATGCACGTATAGTCGTATGCATCTAGCCATGAATGAAAATATACAAACATACGAGATGTTTTTGATGTGTAGCTACAACGTGCTGACATGTGAGGAGGAAATTTGAACTCCTAAGACTCACCAAACAGATGCAGATGTGCATCAAATAAGTACTTATTTTAAGTGATGGGACTACACAATAACTAGATAGTGGGTGTTTTTTTAGGTGCTTTATTTTTTGACAAAATTGTCACAAAAAATATTTTTGTAACTTCTAGGTATACTCCCCCCTCTTGAAAGGACGATAAAAACCCCAGAATTATCTTTTCCATCCATAATCATAAGCCCACATCACTTTGGCCATCCATAGGGAAGAGATGTGAATGTTAAACTCCGTCTCATACATTATAAAGCATAGATGAGCAAAATAGAGTTTTAAAAAATTTAAATGAGTTCACACATTTGAGGTTTCAATGAATGGAGGGTACGGTAAAGTCCAATAAGATCAGCCATTTAATCAATTTATGAAAACTCAAGGTATGTTTATAATAAAAATGAAAAATCAAACCGAAGTCCCCTGATCACAAAATAACAATCAGTGATTAAAATGCCGCATATGTTTGATGAATTATTGACCTTTTGTTAATGGTAACCAGCTGGTAAAATAAGTTGTCAACTTGTTCTGACGTGGCATAATTGCCTTCTAAACAAAGCACAAAAGATTTTAAAAGGTGCTCTACATATATTCAATGATTGAGACTTTTTTAACCACAAAAAGGAGATAAGTCCTTAAAATAAAGAATGTTAAAGGCAGTTTAAAATATAGACATACCTATTCAAAATTGGATATCGATATTCAGGATGTATCAATATGACTGATAGTCTGATTTTTTTTATCATTTTCTTTAATTTTTTTTTTTCAAGTATGTTCAAAATATTGGTTTGTCCCCGTGTATTGGCAGGGGCTTATCAGAACTTAAATTAACCCGCTTTTATATTTTTTTAGTTTTTTAATTTGATTTTTGGGCATATTTTTAATTATATTTTTTGAGTGGTTTTCGAAACCCCTTTAAAAAAACGTATCTTAAAACCACCAATACAATACAATACGCTCGATATGAAACATATCATATCAAAATTTTAAACCTTAATCAAAAAGATTGGAAAAACTTTCCCAAAATTTCAAATGTTCTAAAATAGTTGTGTATCAGTGTAAGTGTAATCATACGTATCTAAATACACCGATATAGATATAATGTGCCCGATATATGTTAATCATTGCTTATATTTAATCTTTTAACTTGGATAAAAACATTGTATAAAGATATCTTGATCTCCCATGAGCGGACTTCACACCGAGTTGAGCCTCATAGACATCAATTCCTCCAACTTCATCCCCTTGGGCTTCAACCATAACTTAATTAATTCCATCTTCTTCAATTTCAGTTCCGACAGTATTCCACTCGCCTAGTATTCATCTATCAAAAATCCTCGCCCAAGCCAATTCTAATCCCTTAGACGTTAGACCATCACCATCTTACACCATCGAACATGGTTTTCAAAACCGGACTTGACCGGACGGTCAAATCGGAAAAACTGGGAGTCGGTCAGGTGATTGGTTCCATTTTTCACCAAAACCAATTTTTGTCAAAAAAAAATATTGATTTGGTCAACAAGCCGTTGGCCCAAACGGTTGAACTGTTTAAACTGTTCAATGGTTTTGACCATTTTTTTATTTTTTTTATTTTTTTGTACCTGGGAACTAGACCCTTGAACGATTCGTTATCCGGGTCAGTTTTAAAAACCTTGCCATCGAAGTATGGTTCAGTTTAGAAAGAATATATATATATATATATATATATATATATATATATATATATATATATATATATATATTG